ACTTCCCCTGAGTGTGATCAGCTAACCTGTGTTACATGCTTTTATTACAGACCTGGTAGTCTATCTTTGTATGGATGCCACAGGGAGGTATGACTCTGTGCTACCCCCGTCTGAGAGTCCAGGAATGGCAGTCTCAGTTTCCGCTCTATCCCCATCCTCATGTTCAAGCTGGCTGTGTGCTCTATTGCCTCTTTGTATAAGGAATCACCTCCCATACTGAAAAAAAGATTCACCATTAAATGATTTCTGGCACATTGTCACTATAAAAATGTTTACTTGCATTGTGTGTATGCTAGTGTTGTCAATAGTACCTGGTTAAATGTTGAATGATGTAAGTTAGTAAAACAGCTACTAGGTAACTAACTCTGATTTTGTGTATTGTCAAGAATTGTTACTTTCATCAGGGACCTCAAACTGTCATTGGCTTTATTTGCCATTACACACAATCTACTTTGTCAAAAACACAATCAACTTAATTTTTTTTTTTTATTTTTTTTTTTTTTACAGTTTATCATTTGATGGCTCTAATGGCCTGTCTTAACAATCTAGAAAATTAATTCATATTCAGCATCCATCCATAATTTATATTCAACATTTGATTTCAAATTTACTCAATAGTCTAGAGGGTCTTAAACAGGTGTAGCATACCCGAGACTTTCAATGTAAAAATACTGTTGTCAATAAAATAATATTTTTACAAGTTTCAATAAATTTATTTGAGAGAATTATTGAGATTGGTACAGTATGAAATATATTTTAATACCCAATTAATCTTAGTTGGTTCATTTATGATTATGGAAGACGAACTTAACAGAAGGAAAAGGGTGGCTTAAAATGAATGGCACCCAACAGACTGTTTATTACTGTTAAGTTTTTGTTATGTTTGGTGTCTGATGGAACTGTTGCCCAAACTTATTTTCTGGTTTCAAATTTCCGATCCCTCAAGTATGTGTGTAACCACAACTCATCCCCCGTCTCCAACTGGTAAATCTTGGTATATATATGTATATATATATATACATGTATATATATATATATATATATATATATATATATATATATATATATATATATATATATACATGTATATATATATATATATATATATATATATATATATATATATATATATATATATATACTATTTTCACCGGATACCCAATGTTACCAATGTAAATCATGATGTAGTACCCAAATAGACGTCATATACTTAGGTGACTTCTGCACCAGAAGTGTGGCTTTACTAAATGTCGGTCCAGTAAACAAAACTGATTATGTAAAAATATGGTAATCTATCGAGTGCAAGCGAGAATAAATAAATCGGAACAAAGTAGAAAAACACCAAGGGTCAATAGTAGATATATATGCATTGTTACAAAACAAGTTATGTGCTATTTATTGTTTATTTCCCTGCATCACATCACCAACACGTGTTCCAAATTCTACACGTCTCTCTAAGCCGCCGTCTTTGTAGCAGATACTGGTAATTATGCAAAGGTGTCATAAATCTTTTTATAATTTATGTTCATCGTATCATCAACAATATGCACTCATTCTAATCTTACTTACTTCTTATAATTTACACAAGAGCGAAACTCTGGGGAAATGAAAGTAACACCCCACCCCACCCCCGTGTGTTCCAGGCAATCAGACAACAGAAAGACAGTCCATTAACATAAAGAATATGTGCTATATATCCTAATATTTGGGAAATACTGCGATACAACGGTCCCGCGATATCATGAGAATTGGGTGTTCAATGTATATTTTAGACAAAAAAAAAAAATCAGGTACCTGATACAAACCATGTCACAGTAGTTACAAAATGGAAACAATATTTTAATTTCACCAATTCCCCGCTAGCTATAAAAATGTTGAATATAACTCAGTTATTGTAGATGGGCATACCATTTTTTGAGTACCTCCACATCAATTTGGAAATCCATCGCCATCTTGTCTTTGTTTTCTAAACTGGTACCATATCTCCTGATGATACCAGTTTTTTTGTTTCAGCTAGATAAGTCGTACTTTAGACTATTCCAATTTCAGCTAGCCTGCAAAGTCATTCGCAGCTTCACGCCTGAATGAAAGAGTATTTCCTGTTTCACTCTGACAATTCACAAGTATTCCAGTACTTCAAAAGAATCGCTGCTTATCTAAAAACCTTTTATTTTTGCCACTATTCAATTCATAGTGATCACTGAACTAGGCCCATGGGCCTTGATGGTCACCTGAATATCAATTTGTCTTGTTCTTTGCATGCATGCAATCCACAAGTTTTAAAATTTCCTATGTAAGAATAACTTAGCTTTATAATCCTGGTTCCAAAGGGTGGGAATAGCTATTTTATTTTTGATAGGGGGATCAGGCATTGTCCATTATAATTGTAACAGGAAAGGAGAAAAAGTATGGCTGGACAGGGAATCAAACCCATGCAGGAACCCTTGTTCACTAGTCTAGTCAGGTGCTCTACCAACTGAGCTACCCAAACCGATATCCACAGCCCAGACCATTCATAATCATGTAATCACTGCTTTTTTTGAAATGTCAAGAAGTATAAAAGCAAAAACATACATAATTATGATCAATTAAGCATTTCTCCAAATTATTTTTCATTTTCATGGAAAACATGGGGAACAATAGCTCGTCAAAGTCATGGAAATCATCACTGACACATGCAGTTAACCTTTTAAAAAGTGACACAGGTATGTAGTATCATTTTTGAAAGTATTAAAGTTGGGGGGAGCCAGAAAAAATATTTGAAAATTTACCTGAAAAATCTTTGACAAGCCCCCCCCCCCCCAAAAAAAAATGTTCACTGACAGGATGATTTGCCTATACTGCAACAAAAAGTAGAGGACCAACTGCTCTTTTTTGAACATTTTCAAAAGGTAATGTTTCGAAAAAAAAGGGGGGAGGGGTAAACCCCCCCATTACTATGTGTCATTGTAAAGAGAATTTCAAAGAACAAATGGGTTTTGCTCTGCAAAAATTGCATAGTTAATAACTTATTCATGGATACTGTAGGCCAAGTATTCTTTGAGTCATCTTTTATTCGTGAATCGTCAGTTTGAAATCAATCAGCGACAATTAATTTTCACGATTCAGGAAACATTATCTAAAAATACAAAGCAAAATAATTGGTTCGCAGCGATTAATATTCGCAAGTTAAGGTAGGTCGGGAAACTCGCGAATATTTCTCGCACGCAAATAAAAGTTGGTTTACAGTATTTTCAACCTACTTTAAAGCTGTAAAGAGAATTTCAAGGAAAAAACAGGTTTTACTCTGCATAAATTGCCTAATAACAAATTCATTGATGTCAAATTTCTGTAGAATATTTTTTCCAATGGTTTCAGACTTTCTCTTTTCCTATTTCATTCTTACACTGTTCTCAATAAAATATTGCATTCTAGTATGTGTTATAGTTGCATATACATACAAAACAATAAATAGAGTACTGTTTGAATAAAAGGATGTATAAAAATTAATAACCATACCAAGCATGATTTTTTTAAGTAACACTTCCTAAAAAGCTCTTTATTTTCACAACAACATATAAATAATACATTTTACAAACAATGTATGCTGAGTATATGACAATTAACCATCAAAGTAAAAAAAATGTTAAATCAAATTCTTCAGACAACAAATATTAACAATTATTAAGTACATACATGTAGTATATGAAAAAAAAATCATACAATAAAGGGTCCTCCACATACCTTTAGCTTAAAGCTATATATGGCATATCTGAGCTATAAAATAAATTTTAAAATAAGATTGAGTGTAGATGAACATATTTGTTATATACGTTCAAATTAAAATTTTCCCCGATTTTGAACTTGAATACCCCCACGTTTCTATTGTTAAATTGACTTTAAACTGTGTCTGACATTTAAATGCGGAGTCGGTAAATAAATCTGTTATCGTTTTAAATTTCTAATATCATGGCCGTAGGAACTGGGGGGGGGGGGTGCCCCCCAATAATTTTTAATTTTGACGATATATAGTTTACTATAGAAAACATAGCTGTTATTTGCTTGTCCCCCCTCAAAAAAAAAAAAGTCTGATGACCTTTTTTTTTTTTTTTTTGCTTGTCAAGGAATTTTTGGTAGTTGATAGTGCCCCCTCAACTGACAATGTAGCTGTGCCCCCCCCCCCCCCAAACTGAAGTTGCTTCCTACGGGCTTGAATATCTATGAAACGCGATTGATTTAAATTGTGTAATTTACAGAAAAGGCCTATCTTTATATATATAAAGTAATAAAACAAATAGAAAGATCTTTTTAATTTTAGTTAGTCTTAACTTATCAAAAATATGCCATGCATACGTGTATGTGACTTTAACTTCTACTTTTATTCAGCATTACTTTAAACAAGCATATCCACCATGAAAAAAATAGATATCAAAATATTATTTATATTAATTATCTAAAAATTTATTTTCAAACTTGTCAAAACTCAATGTGGAAATTTAAAAAAAAAAATTCCACATCAAGTTTTGACAAGTATACACATCAAATTTGTTTCTTCCCAGCATATGCTTTTAAGCTCACAAAACAACCACAAAAATTTAATTTAAGCAGACATAATACATTTTTTATCAAATTAATAGATAATAAAAAAAGTAAGTAATTTCCTCTCAAATCTGTGGATGAAAATTTAGGAAAAACTACTGATTGTTTAGGAGAAATATTTAATGAATTAGATTACAACAAGAAATTGAATTGAAATCAGATCCATTGATATAGAAAAATAATTTGCAAAATCCTTAGTTTCAAAGTTCCTCTTTCAATTGAGAGTTAACTTTCCTGTTACCTAGGACTCCAAAACACAGGTTGGATAATGCATATGTCATCATACTCATCTTTGTATTTATTACTGGCAACTGGACTGGACATGCAGATATCAATAAGCAAAACTAAAAATGCAAATTTTATCAAGATTTCTGAATGGTATATTCATTAATGAAATGCATAAATCAGTCTGCAAAAATAACTGCTTTCATAACAGATTTTATTGACAATATCATGACAGCATGAAAAAATATATAAACAAAAACATTTTCTCCTTAATATACATGTAACTGTTATAAAAAATCATTATGCTAAAAAAACTTAAAGGCTTGCTCTTCTTTAATTGAAAGACACTTTTTTTCTCAGCCGCACCCTCTTTCAACGTTGTGTACAAACAATAGTGTCGCTATCAGTTAACTACACTATTTTCCATTGACAAACTGTCACCTCTAAAGTGAGACTCTGTATGAATAGCCCAAAAGCCGTCCCAGGCAAACTGTCAGTGACCAAATTATACAAAACTGGAAATAAAAGTAACACACCAAAAGTCATGGGTTGTGGAGGACCCTTAAAGTTTATCACACATTCAAAAATATCTTGAAATGAAATAAGAGCAGGCCCTGTAAAGTCCTGTTATCTAAACTGGTAGACTGCTATACCATATGTAAAGTCCTGCTACCTGAACAGACAGACTGGTATACTGAGTGTAAAGTCCTGCTAGGTATACTGAGTGTAAATTCCTGCTATCTGAACAGGTAGACAGGTATACCCAGTGTAAAGTCCTGCGAGGGATACTGAGTGGAAAGTCCTGCTAGGTATACTTTGTGTAAAGTCCTGCTAGGTATACTGAGTGTAAAGTCCTGCTACCAGAACTGGTAGACGGGTATACTGTGTGTAAAGTCCTCCTATCTGAACTGGTAGACAGGTATACTGTGTGAAAAGTCCTGCTATCTGAACTGGTAGACAGGTATACTGTGTGTAAAGTCCTACTATCTGAACTGGTAGATGGGTATACTGTGTGTAAAGTATTGCTATGTGAACAGATAGACAGGTATACTATGTGCAAAGTCCTTCTATGTATTCTGCATGTAAAGTCCTGCTATCTGAACTGGTAGACAGGTATACTGTGTGTAAAGTCCTGCTACCAGAACTGGTAGACAGGTATAATGTGTGTAAAGTCCTGCTATCTGAACTGGTAGACAGGTATCTGAACTGGTAGACAGGTATACTGTGTGAAAAGTCCTACTATCTGAACTGGTAGACAGGTATACTGTGTGTAAAGTCCTACTATCTGAACTGGTAGATGGGTATACTGTGTGTAAAGTATTGCTACGTGAACAGATAGACAGGTATACTATGTGTAAAGTCCTTCTATGTATTCTGCATGTAAAGTCCTGCTATCTGAACTGGTAGACAGGTATACTGTGTGTAAAGTCTTGCTATATGAACTGGTAGACAGGTGTACTGAGTGTAAAGTCCTGCTATCTGAACTGGTAGACAGGTATACTGTGTGTAAAGTCCTGCTATCTGAACTGGTAGACAGGTATACTGTGTATAAAGTCCTGCTATATGAACTGGTAGACAGGTATACTGTGTGTAAAGTCCTGCTATCTGAACTGGTAGACAGATATACTGTGTGTAAAGTATTGCATCTGAACTGGTAGACAGGTATACTGTGTGTAAAGTCCTGCTATCTGAACTGGTAGACAGGTATACTATGTGTACCAAGTCCTGTTATCTGAACTGGTAGACAGGTATACAATGTGTAAAGTCCTGTTACTTGAACTTATAGACAGGTATACTGTGTGTAAAGTATTGCTATCTGAACTGGTAGACAGGTATACTATGTGTAAAGTCCTGCTATCTGAACTGGTAGACAGATATACTATTTGAAAGTCCCGTTATCAGAACTGGTAGACAGGTATACTGTGTGTAAAGTCCTGTTATCTGAACTGGTAGACTGGTAAACAACGTGTAAAGTCCTGCTACCTGAACTAGTTGACTGGTAAACTGTATGTTAAATTCTGCTACCGGAACTGGTAGACAGGTATACTGTGATCTGGAACATGCGACAAATTCAGGGACTGAAACCTGAAAATTAAACATATTATTTTCTTACATTTCTGATTACTTTTTGGTTCACTCTGAAAAGGATTGATGACTTACAAAATGTTGACTTATTTAACATTGTAAATGAAGAGTCTCTAAAAAAAAATTCAAAACATTCTCATTTGTTTAAGTTCTACCACATTTCTTTTAACTTTCACTTTGTTATCAATCAAATAAAGACTAGAGTGTAAAGTGAGCCTCACCATTCTGAGGTTCTGTGGTAGTAATAACCTTCAATGGTGGTGGTGGATTTCTGGAAGCAGATGTAGTAAAACCCAGCAAATGATGCACCATTTATGTTCTTTATTGTATGATCTGGTACAAGAAAATGTTCCTAAAGGTAAACAAATTGTTAAAATAATTATTTTAGGTTTTTAAAAATTATATATGTATTTCTCATGCCTTGTCTTTAAGAAGTGAATTGTATATTTACAAACTAGCGAGATTCAAGAATTGTGAGATTATCTTGCCGTTTTATTGTCTTAAAATTTGACCTTGAATTCAACTAGAAATCTGACCAGTAAGCAAGGGCCCCGCCGAGGGGTAGAAATATAAGGGTGCAGATTAGGGGATGAGAATTTTACTTGATTCCAAAAAATTTCAAAATATACAAAGAATTATAAAGTAACAGCAACTGCAAAATATCCAACAATCTGTAAATAGTATCCTTGTATTTACATAAGGCAGTAAAAAACATCATATCTATAATAACTCAATTAAATGTATATTTAAAAATGAATGAAGCATGTGTTTTCTAAAATGCAAGCCTTCAGTGAATGCAAATATCACCCAGGCTTGACCTTAACTTCAAAACAAATATCAGTTGCAGACAAATGTGTTAATTAATCGTAAAGTGACAGAAAGATAACCCTCTAAAATATTCTGCAAACCAGCAAGATAATCAAACCCACAAGATTAATTATACTGCTCTCTCAACCTTTTCTTCTAAGTTTACAATAAGAACTTTTTCAGCAATGATAGAATGAGGTTATTATCTGAATACCTGTTAAAATAATTAGTATTCTTGAATTTACATAAGGCAGAAAAAAAGAAAAAAAAATACCTAATTAAAAAAAACGATATCTTTATCTATATCTTGTTTTTAGAATTCAATAAAATCATAACTCATTGTGTATTTTAACAAAATAAAGTATGAACATTATTTAAATCCACATTTCAGAGAATGTAAACATCATTCAGAATTGACCTTAACTTCAAAACAAACTTCATTTGCAGACAGAGGTGTTAATTAATCTCAATGTGGCAGATGAAGATAAATGCTTTGGATTTTCTTCAAGAGTAAAGTTAATTAATCCCAAGAGACTCATTGCAGCCTTTCATAGTTTACAATAGGAACATTCTCAGCAGTTATCTCTCTTTGCCCATTCATTCTTATATAAAGTTAAGGAATATACCCCACCACCCCAGCTCCAAACCGGATGACATGGAGAACCAAACTTAGCATGAAAATATGTCTTACTGCCTATTCAACCAACATACCAAATTTGAACTTAATTGGTCAACCCTAAAAAAAGTTATTAGAAAAAAATAGAAAATTTGTGGACGGAAGAATGACACACGGACAGACAGACAGACGGACAGACAGACAGAGTGATTACTATAGGGCACCTGCAAATCCTTGCGGGGCCCTAATTAATCTTTTAGATCCCTTCCTGCATCTAATATTGATGCATATTCCAAACAATGATTTGATGAGTTCCTGTCTTTTTGAAACAATGTTTCTTCTTACAAAAAGGCAGTGAACCAAAGTGATCGCTATGTGTTTATATTGTTTGGTCAGAAACCAATACGCTGTCCTCTTACCTTCCACCTCATAAACACAAAGTCTGCATTAGTCAGGTTATCATAGTCAAAGCTGTCAGAATTAAAGGTTTTAGCAAACTGGAAAAAGGACAAAAACTTTCCCTAGAAAAGAAAAAAAAAACAAATAAAATTCATTTATAAAATGCAATATGTCTTACTATATCACGGTATAATTTGTAGACACTTTACAGACAAAAAAAAAATTTAAAGAGGACGAAATTTTGTTCTTAATATTCACTCATTACAATTTACTTATTGATTATCTACTGTACATGTATAATATTTTTGGTGTCCTAAATAATTCATAAATCATAAACAAGTACATCTGTATGATCATTCATTTACAAGTACATTTGTATGTCTGTTCATTCAACAATTCATTAACAAGTACATGTGTACTGTTCATTCATTAACAAGTACATGTGTACTGATCATTCAGTAATTCATAACAAGTACATGTGTACCCAGTGCTTTCTATCGACATCTTCGTCAGCCTCCCATTTTCTCGTCAGAAATGGATGTTTTTTGCTGATAATTTCACCATCAAAAAATGTTGTCAGTGTTGGGTACTCCTCTGTTAAACCTTTAATCTTCAGGTATCCACACAGATATGAATTTTCTAAATCTACATTCTGAAAAAAAATTGTGTTTTTTTTTTCAAATGACAATCTTCACCACTTCCTCATATCAAACTGGTCATGAATGAGTTCATAAAATGGCATCATTCGTATTATCATCACAAAAACCATGTTTTTATTGAGCCGACAAAGTTTGTTTACATCAACGACAGCGCCATTTTGCAAACTCATTTATGGTCAACTACTGTATATACTAACTATAAATTTAGTATAAAGTAGTAGTATTTGTTAGTATTTTAGGTCCCTGCTTATACTGTAAATGTACAATATTAAGCATGTACTTTAGCTGAAATTGATTTGACAAGAAAATAACAAAGATTTGATTTAGTGCTTTCTAATCATGCTAGAAATAAGTATATACCGGGTAAATATACATATTATAACATGTAGTGATGGTCTTGATTAAGCAGAAATGTTTTCCACCAAAGGCGCTAAATAGAATACACCGTCAAACATGATATGTTTACAGAATATTCTGCAAAAATCAAGTTGAAGAAAAGAATAAATCAGGTCATTCATTTATAGCCAGAACAGCAAGCTGCACAAAGCACGCTCACATTACAAAAATGCTTGGACAAAGTGAAATATGGGGTTCGACACATTCATATAAGTTTCTTCTCCCTTCGAATTTAAACACCATGTTGACATTCGGAACTCTCTGGATTGTTCATAGTAAATTCACTGATTTCGAGTTATCACCAGTGTTCATTTTGCTACATTGCCAATATACAGAACATATTCTGTCATTGAAACAGGTCCATAGGACAATATCATTTCAAATAGTATACAGTTATGGAATGGGTATGAGGGAAATAGCAAATTTATGATTCCCCAAGGGAGGAAACTATTTCCCGAGGCGACGAAGCCACCGAGGGAAATAGTTTCCTGCCGAGGGGAACCATAAATTTGATATTTCCCTCATACCCATTTCATAACTGTTTTATTATACCGAAACAATCATGGGAGATTTATTAAACTAGAGACTCAGACATTTTTGAAAAAAAATATAGAGGCATTTAAATAATCACAAATGCATGTGATTAAAAATATTGTAAGATAACTAATGCATCGATACCGAGGAAAATAAAATTATTAAAAAATATATAATAATTTCACTGACACTTTGAAGGATTATCGTTGTCTTCATTTTGCTAGAATTCCAGTATGATTTTGACATCGAATGTCGAAATGTTTTGACGTCATAGTTACATATTGCTAATAACATTATGTCACAGACTCGAGATTCCTTGAACGCTCCGCCCACTGTTCATTTTAATTGGTTAAAATTATTAATAAATATTCATGAGGGAGTAGTCCCAGGGAGTAGCTCCGATTTTTCAGGGAGTAGTCCTCCGATGAGGGAAATAGTATCTTCTCGCGGAAATAGACAGTTTTATGGTATCAATTTTATATAGAGTAATAACAGTAGAGGTATAATAAAATGTTTTATTATACCTCTGTGAATTTTCTCTATATAAAAATATTACGAATAAACATGCTATTTTTTCCAAACAGCCCCTACCGTGGAATAGTTTTTGTGCTATTTGCCCATGGTGAAATAGTCATTAAACTATTCACCGGCAGCATTCTGTTTCCCTCGCTTTTCATCTCGGAACTCTTCTGGTTTTATACAGATTGTGATGTAACACAAGTAAAGACTGCTTCGGTATAATAGAACACTTATTTACTGACTATTCGGACAATAGCAAGTTTATCTTTCCCCTCGACAGCAACTATTTCCCTCGGCTGCGCCTCGGGAAATAGTTGCTGTCTTGGGGAACGATAAACTTGCTATTGTCCTCATAGCCAGTAAATAGGTGTATACTATCTAACATACGACGTCATGTGACATTACAATCTAGATGGTCCAAATGTCTTGTGTGGTTTTAAGAGGTGGATCTAAGTTAGAATGAATAAAGGTATCCAATAATACACTTGACAGAATTAAGAAATGAATGTAATATTTTTTTCTTTGACCGAAGTATCAAACAAAAATTTGGACTGAAAACGTTTTCATCAATGCGCTACGCGCATTGATGACGTTTTCCGTCCAAATTTTTGTTTGATACTTCGGTCAAAGAAAAAAATATTACTTTCATTTCTTATCATTTAATTATGATTTAAAAATAATAAAATGAAACTTTCTTTCACTTTAATATTTAATTTAAGCATCGAAGACGGTGCGTAGGAATACATCACAACAACGCTGCTGAAATTCAAAATGACTGAATGTACAGATCTACGCGCATTGGATTGATGAAATTTTACGTCCAAGCTTTCTATGATACATCGACGAAAGAAAAAATTATAAGATTTATTTCCTATCATTTGATATTTATCTTTCAATGATGAGATTTAACTTTAGAACGATCGAATGACTGTCCAACATATAGGCCTAGCTTAGTTGCCTAAATTTTCAGACGCAGAGTATTACGAACAAACAACATTTTCAAATATTGTCGTGTCATTACTAACTTTTTCTAACAAAAAAACAGTTTTAACACAAAAACTTACTTGTTGTGTTATTAATTTTTGCTATGTTCCTCCAGTAAGCTGATATCTTTAGATTCATAAATGTAAAGGGAAGCTACTCAAATATAACCTTAAGAACTCTTTCTAGTTCACAGAAATTTTCGGTTTCATATGCGCATCTCTTCTGGAATCATCTGAATTTCAAATCGAACATATATATACGTATCACAATATGTCCATGTATAAAACAACATGCTTCAAAATCCGGAAGAGTCTGTTGCCGACTGTTTAACTTTGAAAGAATACCCGTCCTCGCTCAGCGTCGTTTTTCTCATGCATTCGTTTCCTAAGAATTATCAGATTGACGGCATTTCCCCGCTTTGGTAGCATAAAAACATTTCTTCACAGTTCTATTGTTCATACCAGTTATCTCAAAGACAAACAAATAACATATGTATGATGATTTCTTTCCTTTTTTCCCGCAACTGCATTGTTGTCATTTGCAGACGATCTTGATTTGTTTAGCAAAGGGCGATAATTCGAAAAGAAACGAAAGTAGAAAATAACTCAGGAACGTAACGGACAAATTTTGAAATTCAGGAAAAGAGAGTAAAATTATTTCATTTTTCTTTCACAAAGTAATATGGAAGCTGAAATATACGTGTCAAGTTAGCCAAAGTAGTTCCGACTGTCAAGTGCAAGTGAACTCCAGATTCTATTGATGCAGTTATCAAAAGAATTTTTTATCCAATCAGAATCAATTATTTTATAGAAATTAAATGATTATTCTATCGTTAAAATGATAATGTCCTACAGACCCAGTTTAACAATAGAATGCATTCCATGTATTGGCAATGTAGCAAAACAAACATGGGTGATAACTCTCACTCAGTGCATCTACTTTGAACAAATGGGAGAGTTCAAAATTTCAACATAGCGTGTAAATTTGAAGCAAGTTAAAACGTTGAGAAGAAGTATTGAATTCTTCTATTATATGGATTATTTTTTTAGGAGAAAGGTATCCACAAACTAAGAAAGATTTGTTGTGATTGATTTGATGGTTATTTTCACTGCATCTTCATTTGACTTGTCCAAAATCGTTTCAGAGCGATTCTGCAATTTTCTGACTACCAGAGTTCTTGAAATCTTTCGGTCCTGTCGGCAAGACCAATAAAAACAACCAAGGACTGATTACTTGAGGTTCTGTGTCAGTCCAAATGACCAGTAGATGTTGACAGAGCAACTTGCGAAAATCTGACTAAATTTCGTACAAATTCCCTATAACCGACTGATTGTATTCTGTTAAACGCTTTTCTGTATCTCATAATGGCTTCTTCGATGAACACAAGTGCCAAACTATGATTGATAAACTGTTAAAACAAGTTTGTTGACGAGGCTAAGCCAGGTGAGAAAATTGAACTTATGAAGAAAATCGACCCCCACAAAAATTCAATAAAAATTGTTATATGACAATCAAATCGGCATGAAATGTACAGTGTGTATTGATGCAGGGTGCAAAATGTATTGATTATAAAATTCAAATACAGTTTTCATCTTTTTATTGATTTTTTTTTTTTTTGACTCATAGAAATCTGTCTGGACTGACAAACTTCACATTGCAGTCAGTCCAAATGACTGACAGCGGAAAAAAGATTTCAAGAACTCTGGACTACACTGCGGTATAAAGAAAGTCTTTGGGTGGTCTAGACTAGTAGGAACGACTTCAAGTATAAAGTTAACATCATTTATTTGGATTGATCAATTGATGTATTCAAAGTTGTTCAGGTGAGAATATGACCCTCACTTGAGTTGTAGAGAGTTCCAAAGCACAAAAATTTCAAAAATACTGACTGACACTTTCAACAAAGACCGCAGCACAGGAACTTCATAACGCAATAGAAAAATTCCCTCCACAATCAGTTTATGCCAAAGTCTGAAATTTTTACAGGACATACGGTCAGGTAAAAATACATACTTTACCAGACCTAGCATTTACTTACCAGACCGACCATTTTTCTTTAAATCATACATCATGATACAGAGATTGAAAGGGGGGGGGTATTCTCCCTGCTTAATTGAACCTTAAATAGATCCAGAGTTGAGATTATAAAAAAAATTATTTAATGAAATGAACAAACTTACTATTAATAATTTTCCTTTTTAAAAGGTACTATACAATTGCATACAATTTTCTCTTTCTGGTTATTTGACACATACAAATGAAATACACAATGTCAAAGATTTTTTTTTTTTACTTAAAATGCTTAAGGTGGTATGGGATACCAAACGAAACTTCTCCTACATATTTATGTACCCAAATTAGAAGGATTTGAAATACCCCCACCTTTCAGTATATTAAAGTGTAATTTTAATAATTTTTTTATTATTTTAATGAGAAATACAAAAACGATTTTTTTTCTTGCATAATTCTTTTTTCATAAGCTTAATATTATAGGCAGGCGTTTGCTAATATAAAGTGTTTATAAAAACAAATATGACAAGAAATATGTCTTAGTATTTTTTTAATTTTCAACAAAAAATAAGCGTAAAAAACTGGGAAAACTTTATTTCTTGAAAACAGACGGATAACATTTCATGAAAGTCTACAATAAGAATGTATCTTGATATGTTAGCAAAGTGAAATAAACAAATTGAATATATATATATACAAATGGAAAATATAAAATGCATTTAAAATTTTTTGAATTAAAAGATCCGAGCGGAAGAGTTATCCTTCTTTATTTTCCAAGGGTTGAAAAAACCTGGGTGCTATTTTAGAAATGATGAGCATTTTTTCCCAACCATAAAAAAATCGCACTTTGTAGTTTTCAACTTTGAGCGGTTTTGAAAACAATGCATGGACAATCGCTTTCCAGGACGTGTCTTGTTCAGAGCAATTGCATTCATCTGAACGTTTTGGGACTATATACAACAGCTAGCTGATTTGTGACCAAATAGTTACTTCTTGAATTAAATAACAAAAAAGTCCAGCTCTGGTTAACGTGATAATTGATTGGTGATAATTCAGCACAATGTGAAGTAATCGCACTTACCCATGCCTCACCGCACACAAGGTGCTGTACAGTTACGCAAACAATTGAAATACAGCTTTTGCTTAAAAGTGTTCAAAAGCAGCAATGTTGAAACTACCTTTTACAGGGGTTTGCTTTTTTAAATGTCCGTTGTACAATTATAAGTAAATTTATATAGTTGCGATTTTTTTTGTCTGTTTTTGCTTAAAATGCCGACTTGTGAGAACTTGCATTGAAATAGGCTTCAGAGTGTTCTTTTCAACGGTGTATCTACAAATTTTGACCCGAAAATAAGCACTCATGCAAATCAAAACAATACTTCAAACGGAAATACGTCATAACGTGGAGGTATCCCATACTACCTTAAAAACTTCTACATACAACCTAACAAATTTTAATGTTTTAAAATGGCTGAAAAAAAGGTAGCAAAGAAAAAATACAATGTCAAGACTATAAATCCACCTTTTATTAACTTTGGTCAGGGGTATTAAGATATTCTTTTTATATTTTCTATAACTGTGGAGGTTAGCAAAAAATAATATGTTAAGATAACGGTTAATTCAATTGTTGACAGCTGTATCATGATACATGTTGTATCGCATAACCATATTGTTATATGTATCGTATTGTTAGGTAGCTTGCGATACTCAGGCCTAGTTATTTGGAAAGTAACTAACAGTACTATAATTAGGACTGAAATGATTCACCGAAATATCGATAGTGTTACAATATTACTGCTCGGTTCAATGTTCGATTCACTATCTCGATTTTCGGTTCGGTACATTTTTTTATAATCAGGTTTGGTTACTCCTTGAAATAGATCGGGTTCAACCTCATTTTAATAGTTTGACACATACGAGGGAGAAAATTGTGGCGGAGAAAGTTTCAGAGCAGGCTGCCACTGCTAGTATTGACACGAACAAAGTGCTCTTTTAATCTACAGAAGCACAAGTAGTGCTCTTTATTGTATCACCATCTTTTACTTGCCTTTTGAAATCGGAATACATGTTTTCTTTAACCTTATGATTTGTTTCTTTTTTTAAATGTATCGTATTGAAAAAATTGAATTGTGACACAAGTATCGCAATACGTACCGTATCGTGGAGGGGGCGTATCGTTTCAGCCCTAACTATAATAAATATATTCAAATTCATTGAACTCTTGTTTTGCAAATAATTTCGTAAATAATGAAAATAATAAATTAATTCATCATAAAATTGATAAAAATAATTACAAATTTCACCCTGTCACAGTACTACACAACTGTGCTCGCCCCAACAGTCACACCAATGTGACACCATTAACATTAATCTCAACGAGATCAGGGGTTGAAATATACTGTAGCCTGACACCCGCGGTTAATCATTTTAAGACTCTGGCTTGCTAATTCAAATGTAACGATGGTCCGTCAGACTAGCAGAACAGAAAAGAAATTGTCAGTTTACTTTTGCTTTTCTATGTAGATTGGTTTCTTTTGACTGAGAGCTAGTTTAATTTGTTTCTGTCACCAAAGCATTTGAAACTTTTTTCATTTTGCATAAAAAAATTGTTGGGCTAGTTACAGATTTGGGTTCGTAATTTTTTACTGATCAGAAGCCCCTGGGCTAGTGGGTTTTCCAGGAATATTTCAACCCCTGGAGATTCGTCAAGACTTACAAATTTTCGACAGAGGTCAGGGCTCTCGATTCTATATAATTGCGGCCCCATTCCCAATCCAAAAAAAGGTACCTTTTTTCCCAAAAGCAAAGTGTAAATTTCCAAATTTTTTATAGCAAAATATTTTTTTAAAAAAGTCTTAATCAATGAAACTTAATCGGCAACAAGTGAAAGTGAAACATACTAGTTCTGTGTTGGACTGCATAAATAAGTGCATTCCAAGGTATATTCATAAAATGGTTCGGCTTCGATAAGGAACCAGGTTTTCCCAATTTTCCCCAAAATGACGAAAAATTCCCAATTTGAACGGCCCTGGCCCCAGTCCCAAAAAGTGGTGTGAGAGCCCTGGAGGTCTCTTGCAAATCTCAGACCATTGCCACAAAAAGTGACCCAGGAAATTTTGCCTGGATTCGACAACTTGTTTCAATCAATACGGGATGAAATGAATTCCCTGCCTGTTTCAACTTTTCGCCGAAGAGTTCCAGCAATAGTCTGCTTCATTCACTTTGTACTATGGTTCATTTCTATAGGAAATCATTGTAGAATGAAGTATTTGAAGCAGACTATTGCTGGAACTCTTCAACGACAGAGGTTTAAATGAATATGTCACTGCTATGAAAAAAAATAAATACTTGACTTTGGTTGGATTTAAACCTTTTACAGGGCCTGGGAAGGGGCCGCGCCATGCGCCATATGCGCATACTGTCGAAAAATGGCGCAATGAAATAATGGTGCGCAGAGCCATGCGGCGCACCCCGCAAAATGCGGGTTTGCATGTTTTATTACTTTGTAAGTTTATTGCAGTCCGAGCTATCCGTATTCTTCATCGAAGTTAGATGGAATCTGCGATATATTATATAATAAAATCGGAACCATCATTCGGCATATTGACATCCACTGGCAAAGAAACAGTTTTTTTTCATGTTGTTCAATTCGTAAGTGTCAAGTCGTTTTCGATGGTGACCACAGCTTTACGAAAGTCACGCACATGGAAAATTTATATACCTTACAATGAAAAACCTTTTCAACGAAGTCCACTTTTTTTAGTCTGTCCCGTGATCTCTAAATCGGCATCGTTAAAAAATGGTGCTTTTGGTTTAAATACAATTTTTCTAAATACTAGTTGGTTAGAATCTAGATGACGATTGACGGAAAAATCATTTGTACTAGTCAATGTCATATGACTTGTCAATTCATATCGCATTTTTCTTTATAATTTTCCTAAATTTTATTGTCAGAGATATATGGATTATCCTATAGCATCATACTATGATTTATTTTAGAATGGCCCCAATATATTTCCCCTCGGCCGCTTAAATTTCAAAATGGACCCATCATTTTACGAACAGTGGGGCCATTTGCCCCACCTGTGATAGGGAGTTAAAAGGATGTCCAAAGCGAAAAGTTGAAGCGGGCAAGGAATTCATTTTAGCCTGTATTGATCGAAACAAGCGGTTGAAGTCCGGGCAAGATTTCCCAAGTCACTTTGTGTGGCACTGGTCTGAGATTCAGAAGAGACCTCTGTCCAAAATGATATGCTCGACGAATCTCGCTGAGAATACATCAACATATTAATTTAAATATTTATTATCATGTAGTCAGGTCCCTGGTTTTAGTTTTACCTGCAAAATAACTTCGACATCATAACAGTTTCCTTTGCTTTTCTGGTGCCCCTGGAATCTGGATCCGTTATACAGGAGAGTGGTTGTAACACCTGGTTGTTTAGAATTGGCAGGAGGTGGGGGATCAAGCTTTACCGGCATTTTTACACCGTTTGGCTCCAGTTATTATTACGATCCTCTCCCCAAAGCCGAAGCCATTCAACCGGAAGTTGGATAAAATACAACAGTGAAGTTGATTGGCTGAAAAATTAAAGCTACAGCCAATGAAAAATGTTTTCATTTATCATGTTCGGAATTCGATTAAAGATGGCTGCGCCCATGAAAACATGTAAACCATTTCATAAAATATTATCGAGTTTTCACAAATCAAAGGCAAATAAATTGATTTTATTACGGAATTACAAATCAGGAGGTGAGATGGTATTTGTACCTATCATTGAAAAAAAAAGGAGTGTTGGTAAAATAGGTAGGCAAACCCGGGCCGGGGCAAATTAAAAACCGGGGCTATTCGAGATTTTTTAATTTTCTGCCGTAATACTTTATGAATCCGGCTGAAATTTTCGGATTATGTTTGTTATAGGTTTATTTGTGTTCGGTATGAAAATTGCCTTGAAATACTCAGTATTTTAGATTTCCTTGGCGATTGTTGATTTCCAAGTTGGTAAAATGGGTAGTCAGTTACCAAAGTCAACATTTTACGTTTTCTGACATATTTGACGAAAAGTCAATAAAGTTATGAATCATTGTGATGTTTAAGATTATATATTAACTATAAATTAGTAATTCTTCATTGGTAATTGTTATTGCTGCGTAAAATTACACATTTTAAGAAAAACCGGGTCATTAAAACCGAATCCAATCACCCGGGACAAATCTGAATATTCCGGAATAATTGTACCGGTTACATTACTATTTGTCCTTGAAAAAAAAAGAACTTAATCCAAATTATTTGTTGACATCTTTTATTTCATTTTTATTGATATAAAAAATCATTTGAGGAAAGTTCACATAATTATATGAATATTAATGTGAGGATACCTCCATGAGGTTAGAGCTGGGCAATGTCACTAAGGTCCTCCAATATGAACAATTCGCTATCATTATTTCGGAATTTTCGGGTTTGCCCCGGGTGATCGGATCCAGTTTTAATGACCCGTTTTTTTTTCTGAAAATGCGTAAATTTTGCATAGTTATAGCAGTTTGCGATGTAAAACTCATTAGTGATAGTTAATATGCCGTGTTCATTACCGGAAGAACACACAAGAATATTGACTTATTGACCCATAAGTTAAAAATACCGTAAAATGTCGTCTTGATTTTGCCTACCCATTTTACCAACTAGGAAATAAACAATCGCCTAGAAAATCCAAAATCAGTGTATTTCAAGGTGATATTGACAATTAATACTCAAGAACCTTTAAGAAACATAATCTGAAAATTTCAAATTAATTGTTGGAATATTAGCAAAGAAAATTAAAAAATCTCGAATGACCCCGGTTTTTAATTTGCCCCGGCCCGGGTTTGCCTACCCATTTTACCAACACTCAAAAAAAAGTCTTTCACACCCAATTACTTATTCGGTTGAAACTTTATTTTTAGTTGATAGATAAAGATATAGTAACGCATTTTTATGTATTAAAAAAAACGAAAACTACAAGAGGGTTCAATATCCATACAATTCGGAAGTATTTAGGATATACTATTTTTCCACCTCATGTGACTTCCGTGGGGACCTGTAAATTTAAACCCCCCACCCCACCCCCTACCGTAATCAGGACAACTCGCCCCCAACACTTTTAAAGACAGCTCGCCCCATTATTTTTTCTTGTGAATTGCAAGGGAAAAAAATAACTGTTATTCAATAGTGTATATTTTTTATGCAAATTTTAAATTATAATCAATACATGTATTTACGATTGTAATAGCTAGGTTATTTTTTTTTATGCATTTACATCATAATTTTGTATAAAAACACAATGTATGCATAAAAGATTTAATCATAATATCCATGCTTTCTTAAATTTTATTCTTGTGAAATAGAGTTAATAAATGCATTTTGATTTATCATATTTTTTGAATTCATATTTATAAAATATGTCTATTTTAAAAGAGCACATTATCCTCAGTGTTAAAACATCTTAATTATTTAATGACGAAATTAACGTTTAACTGATGGCTTTAAGAAACTTATGATAATGATTATTACTAATTAAATGAAAACATGAGACAAAAGTTTTAATGAAACCCCCAAGCTCACAAATAATTTTGATATATACTTCAAAGTGACGACTATAAATTAGAACATGCAAGCTCCGAAAATTATGTATAATTAGTTGTTTAAAAAAATTGGCGTGCCATATCCAAGCTCCGAAGCAGCTTCAATGTGATGAAGAATTAAAGCATACAAGCTCTGAAAATTACATATATAGTTTTATTTGTGATGAAAATGTAAACAAATGTGTGAATTTAGTGAAGATATATCAAAAAAAGTGCTCAGTACCGACAATAGATATTAGTGTTTAAATTATTTTTGTTGTGTTTTATTTTCAATAAAATTGAGAAATTTTATCTTCAGTTGTTTGTTTTAACTTTCTAGGAACATTTTTAAATTCAAATATCTATATAATATATTTAATATGTGTTGGTTTCTTAAACTGGGGGCGAGTTATCTTAAATGGGGGCGAGTTGTCCTGAATTGGGGGCGAGTTGTTCCTGAATAGGGGGCGAGTTGTCTTGGGGGTGACCTGTCTTGGGGGCGAGTTGTCCAGCATTCCCCCACCCCCCAAAAAAACACCAAATGATCAAACAGAATAAACTGATTCTGGAATAATTATTATATATTTGGTTTAAAACATAAGCATTATTTTCATAACTTGACTGATAGGAACATTTTTAAATTCAAATATCTATATAATATATTTAATATGTGTTGGTTTCTTAAACTGGGGGCGAGTTGTCTTAAATGGGGGCGAGTTGTCCTGAATTTGGGGCGAGTTGTCCTGAATAGGGGGCGAGTTGTCTTGGGGGCGACCTGTCTTGGGGGCGAGTTGTCCAGCATTCTTAGTGACTCTAAGCTATGAAAATACCATTTATGAATTAACATCAGTGAAGGGAGTTCTGAGTGAAAAATGAAATAATTGTTGTCTATTGTGCAATAGTGTACAAATACAAATACAAATATTTTATTGGCACAAACACAATTACAGTAATTGGTAAAGGCCCATACAGAACACATTAATAAGTATAATAATACAGTAGAACACAACTAGAATACAAACAATTGGTGTAGGAAATAATGAAGTGTACTCATCAGATACTAGGTGATTCATAACAATGTAGTTACTCATTTATAGCTAGAATATTTTTTCTAATATCAGATATCAGACATAAAAATGAAGATAGTATTTTAAGAACCCTTTTACACCTGGTTTTCATCAATGATTTTAACAAATTGTCATTATTATGGATTGTTTGGTTGAAATTAGGGAAAGTAGATAATTTTGTTTTGAATATTTTTCTCTGTGCTTCATATTTCGGACAGAGCAAAATGAAATGTTTTTCATCCTCAATATCAAGGTTTTGACAAACTTTACACAACCTATCATTTTTATTAATTTCAACATATCTACCTTTTTCAATTTCTAAATTATGTGCACTTAACCTAATTTTTGCTAAAAATGATCTATCATGCAGTGACTCTAGTTTATCAACATAATGTGCACATTTATTATTAAAACAGAAGTTTCGATAGAATGATAGTTTTGAGGAGTTCATAATACTTGCATTTTGTTCTTGTAATATTTGATCATGAATACGTTGCTTAACAATGCTAAGCACTGGTTTCAATGACATATTAAAATTTGTTAAATAAGAAAACCCTAAGTTATTAAGACAAGTCCTTAAATACATAGACCATGCGTTATTTTCTTTAGTTTTGATAAAAATATCATGTGCCAATGTATGTTCAAATGAAATTAAATGATCAAGGTATTTGATAGCAAACATAATAATTTTTGATCTGACTGGGAGTCTTCCGAGTTCAGAATAGCAAACATTATTTGAAGTTTTGCAATGAACTACTAAAATTTCCCTCAAAAATTTAATATGAAACTTTTCATAAGATGCCGAGCCTGAATTTTTTATGACCGACTCAATACCCCAAACTTCACTTCCGTATAGCAAAATGGGAATTTGTCCAAATCAACATTACCAGTCAAGGTACTTGACAGAAATCTGAATGACCTGACCAAACCTTTAATAATGACGTAATTAACCTTTACTAATCTCTACTCATTTGGTCCATTTTATCTGAATGTTGAGACTAAGATATAAACTGCTCACAAGAAATGTGAAGGGATTAAAATTTTTAAATGAATCAAAATACTGGTAAAATTTCTTTAAATTAAACCTATCCTTGTAATGTCATAATAATTATGCTCTGGTATAAAAGTGTAAACTTTGTTCTCTCATAATTACTTCTTCATTTTTGAAGGAATCTGTCATTTTAGAATTACCAGTATGCATTTTTCTCATTTTATGCTTTATTTTATGCATCATTTGTATAATGATGAAAATGATTTATTTTAGAATTGAAGAAATTCTTTAAGAATGCCACCATTGTACAGAATCAAGGTATTGAAAATTTATGTGTAGAGAGCACTATGATTTTCCTGTTTCTAGACATTCTAAATATATGAATATTCAATAATTTTACTTCATGTACAATTTATTTAAAAAAGATTCTCTGTGTATTCATCCAAAAACATATACTCATATTTATTATCCAAATTTTCACTGAGTTTTTCTGAAGTCATTGTAAAATCTGGAAAATTTTTACTCTTTTTGGCATTCAAGTTTGTTTTTTATTTTTAGGTTGGTTTGAGGTAAATTTGGATCAAAGGAAATTACGCACCCCATCAGGAAACCTATTTCAAGTTCCCAGTGAACCCTTGGCCCTAGCAATTGCAACTGAATGGAACTCACAGAAAGACACAATCAAGCGACAATCTATGCACTTGGTAAAAAAAATAAATATGAGTGAAGTGTGAGAGAGAGGAGAGATAGCATTTCCCCAGCTTGATTGTGGAGATAGTAATAAAATTTCATGCAAAGGTATGCTTTGGAATAATGTATCTCAGGACTCATACAGATGAATTGACCTAACATGCCATTTTCCTACATTCTTTTTTCATGAGGAAAAGAATGTTCTTTTTTTGAAGGGGGGATCACTGAGGAAGAGTGGTAAAAAATATGTGTCAGATTAAAATCAAATCCTTTGATCCACTCATTGACAAGAAAATATTTTACATGAGCAAATTAATGGATCTAATTTTAATCAAAGTGAATACATGTGAGTTGACTATAGTTTATGGGATTTTTTTTTAAATAGTAGGGCTTTCCTATGCATAACCTTGATAATGTATTATCCCTACTGGCACTTAACTCCTCTGAAACAGAAAATATTACTGCTGCACCTCTGATGGTTTTGGATTTTTCTTTTGTTGCAATTTGTTATCATTACAGACTACCCTTAGCAACACTGTACTGGACAACCCCATGCACAGAACACGAGAGGACATCATTAGAGGGGGACTTCACTTTCTAGAGACAGACACAATATTGTATGTACAAAAACAGAAAGTCAATGTTGTTAATCTAATGTTTGGGAATACCATGTACTAAATTACTTTCAAGTAGATTTATCCTTGATAGAACCAAATTTATCATCATATACAGACATGTCAAGGAGTTATAATAATTATTTTTAACCAGATACAGAACAACAGAACCCCCCGAGTTTTTAGAATTACAGAGGAGAGAGTGGGACCCAGTGATGGAGTGGCTGAGGTCCAGGTATTGTGTAACAGTTATCATTTTTAATAACTTCTCATGAGAATATTTCAGAATTGATTTCTACTAAGTGAACACATCCTAAACAAGTGTCATATTAAGCTATGTTAATGTATATTTAATGATTACCCATTCTTGCAGTTAATAGTTTTGATGCATATCAGTATTTCAAATGGCCTTTTTAAAATTCTGTATATAAACATACAATCTACTATGATTATGGACATTATATAATATTATCTTTGCAATACTCATCATTATACATATCTACACCTGCAGTCTTGTAACCTCATATGAAAAGTCTCATTTACCGTATACTTGAAGTATTAATTCTTTTGATTCTGACAGCTACCAGGTGGAGCTTGAGTCTACCACATCATTGATGCCACCAGAGATACCGAACGACACGGTCAACATTATCTCACGGAAAGTCAACTCATTGAATGACTGGGCATTAGTAGGTCAGTAGTTTACCAGAGATACTAAACGACACTGTCAGTGTTATGTCACGGAAAGTCAATGAATATTCGAATATTTATTCAATGAGTTGATATTCGAATATGAATTTATGATTGAAAATTCATTTCTTTTTTTTTTCCAGGATACACCAAAGAGAGATAATTCTGGCATATTAAATTGGAAAAGTTTTTTTTTCATTTAAATTGATTGCTTTAGATGAAAAGATATACCCTCTAAATCAAACGTTTGATGATACTTTAAGAGGAATAGTAACAGAAATTCTGTAACATGTGAATACCTATTGTTGTATATCGAGAGGGTTCTCTGATCTCTCAGTATTGTACCTTGGTAATAAAATCCTATCTTGCAATTCAATCGGATATAGAATCAAGCACATGTTTTAAAACAAGAGAAATTCTTCTTAAAGCTGAACACGACTCGTAAATAGGCATACGCCATTTTCGATATTATATCTACGATACATCAACACCAGGGTATACTCTTCGCATTCGTTACACCTGACTGCTTTATTGTCACGGGTATCGGCGTGGAATGGCGACCCGTGTTTGTGCTGGTTATCTTGTTTTACCTTTGTTTACATTTTATTGTAGTTACGTGTATCTGTGTTCGTTTGTATACTGCACTGACCTGTACAACTATAATTGTAAGTTTCTTTTGTACTGCATTAGACGAGGTATTACAGTTATTTTTGTCGCTACCGAGTGCTGTATAGAATACGTCTGTCTACACCGGTGTCCACTGATTATACTGAACAGTGTCCAAGTCAGGCCCTTTATATAGGGGTCCTCAGATATAGCGAGAATCCGAACAAAAATGGCGGACACATTGCTTTTACGAATCATGTTCAGCTTCAAACTATCTAAAAATGGTGAAGAGTACATCTATTAAAATGACTTTATCTGACAATAATCAGTTTGTATATTTTTTTAAGGGCTCAATTTAAAATAAATACGAGGATTAATTACAGTGTACTTGTTTACACCCATCTCATATAAAATCATTATCAGGAAATTAATTAAGAAAAATTGCCTTTCAAGGTGTTGGTTTTAATTTCAAAACATTATGATATAATTATTAATCCAGCACGGTATATGTATGTACCTAAGTTTTCATTCTAGTCTGTGGTAAGAATAAACTAGATACTGCGGGTATGATTTTTGATAAAACGTAAATTCTACATTATTTTTTGGATTTTTCATATGGAATACATTGTACATGTGTACTAAAATACTGTAAGATTAATTTATGAAAGAAGACAAGTAAAAATATCCTTGGTCCTGTGGTGTATATTCAAAGGTCATGTTCTTAATTTTCTTGCTCTTTTTTCCAGGTTTTCAATATGGAGTGGAAAACCTCAAGTCTATCATACTTATGTTAGGATTAACAGATAAACTTTTAACTGTGGAAAAAGCCGTGCAGCTTGCCAGACTTGAAACAGTGTACCAGGTAACTTCTAGTTAACCAATGCATTATTTTTTTTGAAGTTTTGGTCAAAATAAATGTTTTTTAAAGCTTACATGAGCCAAATCTCTGATTTTTTTATCCATCAGTCTGTCATCTGTAAACTGTTCACATTTTTTATTTCTTCTTAAGAACAACTGGGCCAATTTCAACCAATCTTGCTACAAAGCATCCAAGGGTGAAACCAATTCAAACTGATTCAAATGAAACAGCTACTCCTTTTCAAGGGGAGATACTAGTAACTGAGGAATTTGGAAAACAGGGACAGTAAAAAAAAAATTCTCAATATTACCACTTTTCCAGAGAAGACAAAACACATCACTGTACATGCATGTTGAAGCTTCCTTACTTACATTTATTTCAGTTCATAACCCCTAGGGCTTACAAAAGCAAAACAATTCAAAATTCCAGCTTTTTAATTCAAGTTTGTCTAAATCATGGCCCCAAGTGTTGGGTGAAGTTAAAATAGGGAGACAAAGTTTAACGATGGAATATAAAAAAAAATTAAAAAGAATAGAAGGGTTTCAATAAGTAATATTAATATGCCAGCAATGATTCAAGTTTGTTCAAACATTGCCTCAGGGCTAGAGGCCAAAATCGGGAAGGGGGTCAAAATTTGACATGGGAGTCCGAGTATATAAGAAAAAAAAATCAGAAATGACTATTGGTATGCAGTTATTCCCATGTAAGGTAGATTCAACTTTGATCAAATCATGGACCATTGGGTTAGGTTAAAAGTTTTACATATAATTAGGTTCAAGATACCACATTTCTTGGTAGAAAAATATTTTTGTTTGTTTTTGGAAATTAGGGTTCAAAAAACAAATAAGCAAACAGGGAAAAAAACATTAACCTGACATAGGTACTGGTATACATGTACTTACATCTCAATGAATTTTAGCATTAATATTAGCAATGATCTTGGCACTGCTAAAATTGAAACGCAATATTGTTTGAGTAAATTAAAAGAGTTATCCCTAAAATCACAAAAAATAAATCCTGTGCCCAGCTTTAGGGTTAAATCTTTTAATATGCTGGTTGCTAAAGTAACCTGTTTTATGGTATTGTACATATTTTGTTATCTTGCAGACAAAGACTTGGGGTAATGTGGAGTGGCATCATGATGCTGATATTTATCAGCTCCAGTGTCTTGTAGCTGCCGCAGCACTCTTTGTACACTGGTGTAGCAATGACATGGCAACTACTCATAAAACAACTTACAGTGACCAAACATAGTGGGACATTTTGTTATATATATTCTAATAATAAATTTTATGAAATGTGAGATAAAGTCTTATTTTTTTCCATCATACATCTTTGTCAAACAGTTTCTTTTTTCTTTCAAAACCATACTGACATGCAAACTTTTCTAAAATTTATTACTTTTTTTGTTTGTGTGTGAATATTTTTTTGGGGGGGGGGGGGGGGGGGGAATAGAGGTTTTTGGAAATAAAAACATGTTTCAATACACCTAAACACACAGCACGGAAGAATGCTGAACTCTGTGTATATTATGGTATGGTATTTTTCTGTCAATAGATTATGGTATGATATTTTTCTGTCAGTAGATTATGGTATATAGTATTTTTCAGTAGATTATGGTATGTAGTATTTATTTGTCATTAAACATCTTTACAGTTAAAGATATCACTGATTTATTTATAACTTTTCCTTATCACAGATTTTCAGAAATTAATAAGTTTTTCACACATCTCATTTGTACCTTTTTTACAGAACAGTTAAAGGCTACACAAAAGCAATTTAATGTAGTCCTCAAGAACTTGTAAACTGAAGTTCAAAGGTCTGATAATATAGTCCATTAACTAAAAGATATCTTTTTCCAATCACAAGGCATTCAATTCAGGCTCTCTGACATGTTTTAGAATCAAACTCCCTAGTTTTGCATCACCTCCAGATTGTCCATTTCCTCCCGCAGGTGATCAATAAGATTGTTAATTTCTGACACACGCATTCTATTACGGGTAATTTCCTCATCCTGGTGAATCTGCTCAATCATGTTCTTGAGCCACTGGTTGATGCGAGTTACCATGTCATCCTCCTTATTGTCAATTTTCAGCAGATGAACATCATGTGAGGAGGATACAGCATTGATAATGGTGTCTTTGTCCACGAGTAACTAAAATAAACAGATAAACAACTCAGTACATGTACACTTAATAAACAGATAAATGACTCAGTACATATACACTTAATGAACAGATAAATGACTCAGTACATATACACTTAATAAACAGATAAATGTCTCGGTACATGTACACTTAATAAACAGATAAATGACTCAGTACATATACACTTAATGAACAGATAAACGACTCGGTACATATACACTAAATAAACAGATATACACTTAAAAAACAGATAAAAGACTTAGTACATATATACTTAATAAATAGATGAGTCACTACATATACACTAAATATTAAATAAACAGACGAATCAATAATTCAGTACATATAGACTAAATAATCAGATGAATCAATGACTCGGTACACTAGCTTTTCTTGAGAAAGCAAGGTGCTGCTTTTAAAGGGCAATAACTCTTGCATTTACTTCAGTGAAATCTACAGAGCATGGGAAAATATTTTAATTTAAAAAAGGAGTATGAAAGTACCATTTTTAAATCATCAGATATTTCATCATCCAGTTCATTTTTGATGACTTTTTCCAGAGTGACAATGGCAATTTCCATCATTTTTTCATGGTGATTGTTTTCCAGGTCCCGGCACTGAGAGAGAAGAGCTTGGACATTCTCTACAAATGAGCCTACCATGTCCTGCATGTTTCTCTCAAATTCTTTAATTACTTCCTGAAATGCAAAGTAAAATTATTCTTAAATTATATGCAATGTTTTGAGACTTTCATATATTGTAAACCAAATTATAAGCAAATTTTTAAATTCATCAATTGCCATTTGAAAACTGGTTCACAACAAATAATATTCATGATTGAGGTTGCTTGTTTCTTAAACCTTTTGAAGACTTTACTGTGCAATAAATATCCATGACCTTGAGTGGTTCACAAATCTCACAGAAATTTCTAGTACATGTATAAAAGTTGGTGTACAGTATAAAGTTAACCCAATTTATTATACATAGACTGATGGTCTGTAAATTTTGACTGATACCTCTAACTTGTCTACATGCTGTATAGGTGGCCTGTAAATTTTGTCTGATACCTCTAACTGGTCTACAAGCTGTAGGTGGCCAGTGAATTTTGTCTGATACCTCTAACTGTTCTACATGCAGTAGGTGGCCTGTAAATTTTGTCTGATACCTCTAACTGGTCTACAAGCTGTAAACAAGCCTGTAAATTTTGTCTGATACCTCTAACTGGTCTACAAGCTGTAAACAAGCCTGTAAATTTTGTCTGATACCTCTAACTGGTCAACAAGCTGTAGCTCTAATCCCATCAGCTTGTCCCAGAGTTCCTGTATTCTGTCGTTGTAATCTTTGACACACTGTTCTAACATCTTTGGATCACTCATCTGAGACATCTCCTGCAAGAGCTGAAACAAAATGGAAAATGTAGTTCTCAGTAAGTTAAACATAAATCTTTGCCAGGATCTGAAATATTAACCATGCCTGGTTACTTTTCCATTAACACATTTGAATATTTTCCTAACCAGTGCTATAATATATGTGAAGTGATGCCTACCTTCTTCTTCATCTCAGTGAATTCCACGTTGTATTTCATCCCAAGCCTCTTGTTGTCCTGTTTGGCCTCCTCCACGCATTCCCAGAAACTCTTCACTTCTTCCTCCCGCTTCTCATGCTCAGCAATACCAAACTCAAAGATCTGCATACAGTACTGCATAAACTTCTCTTTGAAGGTAAAACATGTTAAGGTCAACAAATGTCATTTTAAATACGTGAGTTGTGTTGTAGACTTCACAATTAAAGACTTTTAGAGATATAATACATAAAAGCTTGTGAAGTGGATCACTCAATCAAGCAAACATCTTTAACAAAATGGTCAATTTTCTCAGTATATATATAATATGACAAAGGATATCTATGAAGTTGATCCTCCAGGCCTGGCATCTCATTCAGTTTCTGTCCCTCCTTGTCCTCGGCATACATTTGTTCAAATAGATCTGGTCCATTCATCAGCTCTACATAGGCATTCTACAATCATACCAGAACATATGACTGCTAAAAATTGTATATGTTTGACCTTGGAATGAGTATTGAATCAAGAAAAATCAGCTATCACCAGTCTGAAGGGTCACATTCCTACCTTGTGTTTCTCCAGCTCCTGTAGTCTTTTAACCTCCTCCTCTTTTTTCATTTCTGCCTGTCTTTCATTATGAAGCATCTCATCTCTAGAGACCTGGTATTTTTCTATTGCAGCATCCCTCTGTGATTCATTACAAATTATGTCATTTTTATACATGGTACATTTCCTTAACTTGGGTATTATAATCTTAAGAGAAAAACTAATGTTTTTTTCTTAAAAAACTATATATATTAGTTTGAAAAGCACATGGTGATTTAAAATGCTTTCTGCACAGCTAGATTGACTGAATAAGAAATTAATGCAAATCAGCATTGTGAGAGTGAGTGCAATTATCAGCATCCCCCTTGTGTTTCATTTCTTACTGTAATATTCTGAGGACTTCATCATTTTTATGAGCAACAGAGTTTGAAAAGTCTACCAAACATTCTACTTACTGACTGCTGATCAATAAGTCTGTAATCCAAAAATTCCAGATTTGATAAAAATGCAATCACATATTGTTTGTATTCCTCTTGTTTGCAGAAAGGATTGTCTGATAAATTCAGTGTCTTCAGGTTTTTGAATCTTCTTAGATACCTCAACTGTAAAAGTAATTCCAAAAATTTAATGTGAATAAATTGTTTGTACATCAACATGAAAATTAAGTCTTAGATGTAACCATGTAGTATACTTATGCTTACATTTTCTAAATCTGTGAGTTGGTTTCTGCCGAGGGAGAGGACGTGGAGGTTTAGGAGGGTGTCCATGTTGTCTATCGTGGAGATTCTGTTACTATACAGGGTCAGGTCCTCCAGTTTGGTCAGTGTTTCCAGGTTATCAATGCATTCTATGTTGTTGAAGGACAAATCTGAAATACATCATATTTATTTGTAATAATTCATGATATGCTCCTTTTTGGTGAAAAAAAATCATTTGATGTATGTTCTTGTTTGTTATTTATGCTAAACTGGAATTCCAAAAATCATCATGGGCATATAACTTACCCAACCAAACTAAGTTGACCAAACTCTCTAATCCTTCAATTTTTTCAATAATATTATTGTCCAACTGTAATTTGGTAAGCTTTGTGAATTCCCACAGATTATCAATTTTCAGAATATCTGTAAATGAAAATCAGAATGAGTTAATTAATAATTAATTCAACAGTCATCATTAATCAAAAAATGATTTTAATATACTTTAATAGTTTCAACAGTGTTCAAATGAATTGGAAAAAAAAAAAGCTTACTTAAAAAATCAAGTCGCAGAGATAGTACATCTCCAAAGTCAATTCCCTCTTGTTTTGCAATCTTCCCTGCTTCTTCTTTTGGTCCCTGTTCTTCAACAGCTTTCTTGAGCATTTCCTCATCTATAACAGCTGGCTCCACTGTATCGTATAACCGACTCATTTTGATTCACTTTCTTTTCAGCTAAAAAGGAAAAAAAAAACTGTGCATTGAAAAACACTTTAAGATTTACTCTCAATGTTTAGGTTAATTACTCCTGATGATTTTAATAAATGGTATTTTGTCATATAACACCTTAATATTCCTGCTATAAATGGAGTTGTTATAAGGTCTCAATTGTGGAATGACGCATAAGTGCCTGAGGACAGGACTTATATCCCTCTTCATAAAAAGATATGTCCTCATCTCTTACAGAGTGCCAACACCTGTGGGATAAAGTACAAAGGATGATCACTTTCACCTGCCAGAAAAAAAATAAACCTGGGTCCCAATAAACGTGCCAAATGAACAGGAGAGAGGAAAATTTATGGCTGGACATGGAATCAAATGCAGGACTCATGCAGTACTCATGCATTACTAACAGATGCTCTAGCCACTGGGTTATCCAGGCTGATATATATGGCCTATTATATTCTCCTATCTTAAAATGTCTTCCCCCTCAAAGGCATGTATAACCCATGTGCTTTTATAGCCACTGGCAGGTCCTCCACCTCTCTTCCAGGACACAGTACGCCTACAACACCAAATGAAGTAAGGACAGATTTGTGCCTCTTCTTACGATTAAACCTGGCATCCCTGGCATATCAGTCCAGTTTCTACCTATTTAGCAAAAGGGTTAACTAGTAGGAAGATGAGTGCATCACAATACCACATATGCATATGGGGGTGGGGGTTCCATCCTCAGGCAAATAAAAGAAAGAAGTCATGGTCTCTGACGTAACAATCCATTTCCGATCGAGCAAACTTATTTTACATTCCACCAGCTGTTAACTCACAGAATCCTTCAGACTTGGTGTAAATACTTATTAGTTCGAATTTCCTCGTAAGATAGAGTTACATTTCAAATTCTAGTAATTAGCCTACTCTGCAGTTTTAATTAAGTGTAAACAGTCTGTAAAATAACAAATTTCACAAATCTTACCCGTATATTTTTGCCGCCTTTAAATATCAGTTCAGGAGAAAATAAATTTCACTGTGAAGTTACCGACACAGTGTTGACAGCTTTTTGTTTAAACAACTTCATAAGCTGACAACTAAAATCAAAATTATTGATGAATGATATGTAAAGACATTCCGTCCAAAGCATTCAATTAAAGCAAATATCAACTATATTCTTGTTTAAAAAACTTTTTCTTCGGGCACTGTGCATTTCAAAAAGAAAATGTATACAGGTTGTTATGGTTATTTTCAACATCCGGTATTTGACTTCCGGGAGAATATGATTAGCTCGGATGTAATTGAGCGTATGAGGAAATTTTGATCAGGTGAATTTATACCATCATGGGATAAATACCCTTTTTATGTGAATAAAATTATATTCATACTAGTAAAAATTTATAGATATTTAAATGCAATATTTTGGGCTAACCTGAACCACTATCTGAACAGTACCACTGTGTCAATTTCAACAATTCGTCAAAGCTTGGAATGGAGTATCCTTGGGTGAAAGAGATTCAAATTTGTTCAAATGAAGGGCCATGTCCTCTTCCAAGGGAGAGATAATTAAGATGTAGAGTAGGGTATTTTTTTGTGGAACGATTATAGTTTGGGGGATTCCCGAATTTTCCTAGGTATGCATAATAAATAAGTGTAATAAATATAATTTGTGAAAAAATATTCAACAGGCCCCAGCGTTGATTTTTTTTTATTGGGGGGGGGGGTCCTGACCACAAGCACCTGTGTAGTCATACTGTCGTACAGTATTTACAAGTCATGTAAATTCAAGTTTATTCAAATCATGACCTCTGGAGGTAGGGAGGGGCCACAATAGGCGATCAATGTTTTACACATAGAACTCTTTTTTAAAAATCTCCTTCTCAAAGAAAAACAATTTTTAAAACCATGATAGGAATATATTCATACAAAGAAACCACAGGAAGTGTAGATTCAAAGAACGAGGGCGCTTTGATTGGCATTCGGCAGGAATATGGGCGCACTTGAAAAGTGAATTGATCTATTTATCACACGAAATTTGAGCATTCTTTTGATCATTTGGGTTTCTGTGAAATAGGATAGGGAAATATTTTCCCGAAATTGTATTTTGATTTGCTAAAATATAACTTGAAAATAGGCTAGATGATTCATTTGGTACAAAATGTCACATTTTAAAACACGTTTTTCTAAAAAATTTGCTATCTCTGGGTCATCTTTCCATGATTTTCAAACGTTATTTGTATGCATTCTAATTCAAAGAAACAAACAATCATTTGTAAAAAAAAAAAAAATAAAATAAAAAATAAAAATAAATAAATAAAAAATGGAGAGGAGACCCAGAGACCATAAAAAATGAACTTTTTCCAAAAAAATTCCAATGTGTAAATGCGGTGCTTAATAATTCATATTGTCGTTTTAAAAGCCAAGTTGTATGTGTATCGATGATAGCTCAGTAATAAGTGCAATGGAATGGAGTCAAATTTTTGCCTGTTCGATCCTCGCATGGAGCGTTAATATTTTTTAATGTAAGCAATCAATTCTTTTGTCAGTTTAATTTTTTTGTACTTTTTTATTTTAAAATGGATGAATTCTGGTTCTGTTGCACCGAGAGAGAAAACAATTCTTCCAACCTACTGATACTTTAATATACACATGTACTTGTAATTATTATCTTGTAGGTGTTTATTATTTATGCGAAGCATTACTATGTTAAAGTTTGATTATTAAGATAAGCGGACCTAAATATTACAATTTGACATGTTATTTCAAACTTAATATAACATTTTCCCATGTGTGTAGCTTCGTAAAGCCTGTCCAGCTGTGGTCGGACAACCAAATCGTGGTCATTTAAACTATAAACGTTTCGTACACATAATTCCTGCAGATCACACGCCAAACACGCCCATCTCCTTTGTTCAAATCATGACCCAGAGGATGGGGTGGGTCCACAATGTGAAATTGAAATCGAATACATAGAGAAAATCTTCTAAAGAACAGCAATATCAAAGCCATGATTAGTTATATATATAAGCATTCCCGTGTCATGGACATATAGGTTCAAATTTGCTGTAATCATGACCCCTTGTAATAATATGTAAATTTTATATAGGTGCATGTTTATATATATATAGGAAAAGAATCTGCTGGTGAAGTTACTCAAGTGAGCATTGTTGCCCATGAGCCTCTTGGCTTTTTTTCCCTCCTCTTTCTCGGATTCATCTATAAATAAATTAGCCTATAGTCAGTGTTTTGTAAAATAAAAACATTACGGGATATGTCACCTGGGTTTGTATTCATACTTATGTTGCAAATTTGATATTTTATTCACCAATCGGTGTACAGCGCTGGCCTTGGTGGTAAATATACCTACACCATGGGAAGATCACAAGCGTCTGACTCACCAAGAAGTGGGTCAATAAGGGTGTGACGTCATATTGTTATTTACCTGAAAATGGCTGCTCTCTTCGGACATGGAAATCCTCTTGCGACGCAAGTTGGACAGTTGATTGGTAGGCATCTAGGGATGTCAACATCCATATTTCGTAGCATGTATATTTAGTTTGTCGTAAGTCTGAAGATATGCAAGGAGTAAACCTACTCAAACAATGTTAGAGGGATAGATTAACACACTGGAAGGCCAGTAAATGCAATGCCATTGATTGCATGATAATGATGTAAACTTAGAATAATCTTTTATGTACTGTTCACGAAGCAATAAGTATATAATGTAGCCGAAACAGATAGATCTTCATAAGTATGAAAGTTACACCATAAGGTAACACCAGGATGGAGGATATAATTGAAGCATTTGACATTGAGTCAGCTTGGAAAATTGTAGATACAGTTGTACATCAGCTAAGCTGGCAAAATTGTTAAGTTTACATGGTCTCTGCACTTTAACCTGCTATTAATAATATGTTGAATGGTGTCATTGGTGTGACCGCCAAGGGGACCACAGCATGTTCCTATGGATGTCACAAAAGCACACCTTTCTACATTTCTATCTTGGAATCCAACTCATACAAATCAAATGGTCGAAAGTTCCAAGCAGTCTGTGTAGACAAATGATATTTCTTTATCCTCTTGGAAGTGTGGGTTTACATGAAGAGATTATTATTCCCTAGAAGCAGATTGTATTTTCTTGAAGTTGGAAATAGATGTTTGTTTATTATTTCATTAAAACTTGATATTTTTGAGATTGATTCCAAATTCATTTGTCAGTTGCATTTTCTGATGGAGTGCAACAAGTATTTCTTTGTTTTGTTTTTTCAAGAAGACACAGTAATTTTCTTTATTTGGTTCTCAGTAAGAAATTAAAATGTCAAATAATTAATGCATTCTTTGATAATTACAAGGAATCATGGTAGTTTGGAATTTTGGATACTCTGCCAAGGGAATTTTCTTAAGCAGACTCAACTTCAAAACTTTCTACTTTCAGAGACAACTGCACTTAAAGGTGCTTGGACACAGATTTGAAGTTAATATTTTCTCAAATTTTCTATATAATTTCATGACTTATATGTGGCTATAGCATTTCATACTAAAATAAAATAAAAATCTTATTTCATCTCGAAGTTATTGAAACTTCAAATTTCTGGACGCGTTTGATTGACACATCCTTGCACTTTCACAAATTTTAATTTTATTCTTAATACTTAAGAAAAATGGCAATTTTGATGTGTATTAATGAAAAATATTAAAACTATAATCCAGAAAATTCAGAGTAGAAATGTTCGAAAGCAAAACCCACTCACAGTATTGTCAGTCCGTGCTCAGTGGTGTGTGCAGACTTTAACAATTGAACACACCCAGTGAATCGTAAACATTAACAATAACAGAGCTCGTGCCCTGTTTAAAAGAACAGTTTACGTTTCACGGGTGTATTCAATTTGTTAAATTCTGTACACAACACTGAGCACGGGCTGACGATATTAGTGAGAGGGTTTGCTTTCGCACATTTCAACTCTGAATTTTCTTAATTATAGATGTAATGTTTTTCAATAATACACAACAAAATCGCTTCTTTTCTTAAATATTAAGGATAAAGATAAAATTTGTGAAAGTGCAATGATGTGTTAATCAAACGCGTCTAGGAATTCGTAGTTCCAATAATTTCTAGATAAAATAAGTTTTTAATTATATTTTCGTGTGAAATGCTATTGCAATATATAAGTCGTGATATTATACAGAAAATTTGAGAAAATATTAACTTCAAATCTGTGTCTAAGCACCTTTAAATTCTTCTTTGACAACTTTTTCACTGCAAATGATTTTATTGTCTCATTCTTGATGCCGGAGGAAACTGCATAAATGACATGAATAGATATCTGAGTGAAATGATATCCTCACCTCTTATGATATTAACGTGTTTCAGTAGTAAGCATGTTATGTGCAGTAGTCCTATTTTAATTTTGTGTAGAGAGAGGCACAGATGGAACACAAGCATCAGAAAACTGGATGGTTTTGATGGAAGTTTGTGATATCATCAATGAAACAGATGAAGGGTAAGTCTTCAGATCACTTCATGATTTAGTGCTATAATTCAAGGTACTACGCTGTTTCTCCTTTATGCTCCAGAAAATTGATGGAGGGGAGCATGGTTATCAATTTTGTATAATGTTCATGCCAGATGCTATTCTTGGAGGAAATCTTCGTTCAGTTACTGTAAACATGGAAATATTGATGATATTTGTAATTTTGACAAAAATGACAATTTTCCCATTTTTAGCTCACCTGAGCTAAAGGCTCAAGTGAGCTTTTCTGATCACATTTTGTCCGGCGTCCGTCTGTCTGTAAACTTTTCACATTTTTGACTTCTTCTTAAGAACCACTTGGCCAAATTCAACCAAACTTGCCACAAAGTTTGTTCAAATGAAGGGCCACGCCCTCTTTCAAGGGGAGATAATTAGGAATTCATGAAAATTTAATGGCATCATTTAAAAATCTTCTTCTCAAGAACCACAGGGCCAGGAAAGATGAAACTTATGTGGAAACTTCAAATCATGACCCCTTGGGATAGGGTGGGGCCACAATGGGGGATCAAAGTTTTACATAGAAATATATAGGAAAATATCTTTAAATAAAAATCTTCTTAAGAATAGCAAAGCCATGATTGGTCATATTTCTATGGAAGCATCCTCAGATAGTGTAGATTCAAGTTTGTTCAAATCATGACCCTCAGAAGTAGGGTGGGGCCACAATGAGTGATCAAAGTTTACAGAGGAATTTTTAGGAAAAAATCTATTTCTCAAGAACAGAAAAGCCATGATTAGTCAAATTGATATGGAGGCATCCTTGAGTAGTGTAGAATGAAATTTGTTTAAATGAGGGCCCCCGGGGATAGGGTGGGGCCACAATGGGGGATCAAATTTTTACAAATGAATATATGGGAAAAATCTTCTGCTCAAGAACAGCAAACCCATTTGTATTGATATGAAAGCATCATCAGGTAGTTTAAAATTCAACAACCCACAACCCCCCTGTAAACTTTTCAATACTGAACTGATTTTTGTTTCTTGTTTGTCAATAATTCCACCCATCAAACTCTGTATCATACATATAGCAAATGCAAATGGCATCAAGATTTATATTTCTAGCTTGCATTGTCTCAAACTTTTATAAATATGTGAAATTACAATCATGTTACCATTAGGCCACATAAATTTAAAATTTAGATTCTCATCGTAATTTGCTAAAAAATTGGGGCAGGTGGGTGGGTTTTATTTTTAGCTCTACTGGTCAGAGACCAGAAGAGCTTATGCGATAGTAATGTGTCTGTCGTCCGTCCGTCCGTCTGTCTGTCTGTCTGTCTGTCCGTCTGTCTGTAAACAATTTTTCAAAACGCTACTCCTCCTACAGTTTTGGTCCGATTTCAATATAACTTGGCACACAAGTAGACTACACTAAGATACATAATTTAGTGCATCGGTTTTTGATTTCGATGGACGGTGTTGCCATGGTTACTAAAAATAGCAATTTCTGTGAAATTCCTTTAAAACGCTACTCCTCCTACAGTTTTGGTCTGATTTCAATATAACTTGGCACAGAAGTGGAGTACACTATGATACATAATTTAGTGCATCGGTTTTTGATTTCGATTGACGATGTTGCCATGGTTACTAAAAATAGAAATTTCTGTGAAATTCCTTTAAAACGCTACTCCTCCTACAGTTTTGGTCCGATTTCAATATAACTTGGCACACAAGTAGACTACACTAAGATGCATAATTTAGTGCATCGGTTTTTGATTTTGATGGACGGTATTGCCATGGTTACTAAAAATAGCAATTTCTGTGAAATTCCTTTAAAATGCTTCTCCTCCTACAGTTTTGGTCTGATTTCAATATAACTTGGCACAGAAGTAGACTACACTAAGATACATAATTTAGTGCATCGGTTTTTGATTTTGATTGACGGTGTTGCCATGGTTACTAAAAATAGAAATTTCTATGAAATTCATTTAAAACGCTACTCCTCCTACAGTTTTGGTCTGATTTCAATATAACTTGGCACACAAGTAGACTACACTAAGATACATAATTTAGTGCATCGGTTTTTGATTTCGATTGACGATGTTGCCATGGTTACTAAAAATAGAAATTTCTGTGAAATTCCTTTAAAATGCTACTCCTGCTACAGTTTTAATCTACATTTAATAAATTAGGCATACAAGAAGATTATACTAAGATACATAACTTAATGCATCGGTTTTTGAATTCGATGAACAGTGTTGCCATGGTTACTAAAAATAGAAATTTCTGTGAAATTCCTTTAAAATGCTACTCCTGCTACAGTTTTAATCTACATTTAATAAATTAGGCATACAAGAAGATTATACTAAGATACATAACTTAATGCATCGGTTTTTGAATTCGATGAACAGTGTTGCCATGGTTACTTAAAATAGAAATTTTTGTGAAATTTCCATAAAACATTACTCCTCCTACAATTTTGGTCTGATTTCAATCTAATTTGGCACACAGTTAGAATACACTGGGATACATC